AAGTAAACAATATTTGGACATTGACATTGACTTATTTTCTACTACTACTGGAATGCTACTCTACTGGCAGCAGTAAAACATTAAACACATGTAAACCCAGTACTGCGTTTAGCGCTTGGACTTTTATTCATTTCATTGGCCAGAGTACTTGCCACTGAAATGAATAAACGCCAAAGCGCTAAATGCAGCATTTTTTAGCCAAAACTTTCCTCTCCTGAATGTGAGTCATCTGCGTTCAGGAGAGGGATGCTTAAATGCCCCTAAACTCTGATCTGCCCCTAAACTCATGGACACAGAGGCTTTTATTGCGTTGAGTTTTAGGGGCTTTGGCAAAAAAGGGCTAAGTTGTTTAGTAGTTACTACAAGACCCGGTATCACTAACTTCATTTTAAACCATGTTGTCAAAATAGCTACTGTAATCCTATCTTTGTATTATTCTATTTTGCATTCTCAAATTAAAAATTTGAAAAAAAAAAAAAAAAAAAAAGGAAAGAAATAAAAGCAGGTTTGATCTTCTATATATATCCCACAGAGCTTTATATATCTGAGTCTCTTCATGTTTACATGTAATAATGTTGAAAATCTTTTCATTAAAAATCTATTGAAATGGAAAGATCCTGTTTTCATCCACTCAAAAGAGGTATACCCATTCACAAAATAACTGCACCTTATGTACCAACAAGATCCCATCAATGGCAAAAATGAACATACGGATTTCGATAGTATATCCAACTACATGAAAATATTCCACGCCCATGTTATGTACTAAGCTCCTAATAATACCCTTCAAACCACAGACAATTCACTGTCCAATGTAGACGCACACACTCTCCTTTATTAAACTAGAGATATTAGATATTCTCTCCATAAACTAGAAATCCAATATTTCCTTCTATTCAGAATCTACCTCTGGCTGTTTAGTCTCAAGAGAAATTGACTGACAAAAACATACTACTCTTACTTTATTTCATTTTATGCAAAGTAAAAAAAAGAAAAAAAAAAAAAAGAAATACATTAGTCGCAGGTTGCTGATTACTGGTTTGCTTCTAAGGACTGAAAATCCAGACAGGTCCCTTCTCTGCTAGAAGTCAGAGAGGTGCTATGTCTTTCTCTGTAAATGCGATGTCCTGTTAATCAGGGCTATTCACAACACAGCTGTAAAACAGGATGATGAAAACCTTATGCATCACCCTCATTTTAGTAAATCAATTTAGGCACTCACCTAAATATGACCCAAATGGGAGAGGATACTATTGTGTATGGTAAGTAGCAGATACCAAAGTTTAATGCTCTCTTGAGAATAATTGACTGGCCACTAATTTGAAAGAGCTGGAACTCTGCGCTCTCTCTCTTCCATAATAAACGTTTCAGTAGTATTAAACCCCAAACCAAAAATATAATATATTGCAGTGCAACAATCATTAGATGCAGTGGCTGCATTAGTTTTCTTTTTTTATACATTTTTCCACTCTGTTTTCATCTGATGAACTGGCCAGTAACACGCCTCCTGTATTACAGCGCCCCCACCCTGGACAACCACATTGTGAGTCTGGGGAAAGGGGAATATTTGATATACTAGCAGATTTATATGCACTAGCAAATTGAAGCCAAACTCCATCTCACACTGCAGCTACACAAGCAGTCACAGCAACAGTTTTTTTTTTAAATTTTGGGATAAAGATTTTACATAAATAAATAAAAGCTTATCATTGTAAGCCCCCCTGTCAGTGGTAAAATTTGCCTCAACGCGCTTAACTGATACATTTGCAGGATAGATTGTTCTTTTTAAAAACAACAACAGACTTACTAGCTGGATCAAAAGGTGAAAAGCCTAAAAAAAGAAAACTAATGCAGCCATCGCATTTAAGGATTGGTAAGCTACAATATAATAAAGGTTTCCTTTTGGGGTTAATACCACTTTAAAGTTTGCTCACACAGGATACATGCAGCAATGTCTAATGCTTTTTTAGATGCTCAAAATATCTCAATGATTGAACTGGAATCTGCAGGGCAATGAATTCAAAATTGCAGTAGGTGGCATTATTTGTTTAATTCTTTTCAGCAACATAAAACGTATCACAGCTGAGGTCATGATAAAAATAGTTATTTAATTGTTCAATGTCATGAATGGTTTGAAAAATTGTCCTATAATAGAATTTTTTTTCCTGTGGTTACCAGGTAGCAGCGTATAAGTAAGGGGAGTAAGTGGCTAAAGCATGGAGGGTAAAAAGCCTTTCGCTCAATTTATGTCATCCCCGTAATGAGCAGACAAAGGTAATTGGTTGATTTATGTTCATTTGTTGTGCTGTGTAATGGAGTGTATGCCATCCATTCAAAGACACCGATAAGCCATCAAAACCACACAACTTTCCCGCCTACTGATCACCTAATCACAATGAGACAGAAAAGATCCAGAAAGAGAAGGTCAGTCCGATCACTGACCTCAGCTGGACAGCCTTTATCTCCCCTCTGAGAAGCACAAAAACTCCATGTGACCAAAATGAGAGGACAAAAAAAAAGTCATTTTTGATGCATCCCGGGTTCAGTGATGTTGGAGACTGTGAGAGTCACAATAATAATTTCAGCTGTACGTTCCTGTCTGTGGAAGTAGAATATAAAGAAAAAAAAAACCCATGGGGATTCTGGGTAAAGATATGAGGAGGCCAATAGAACTTTGCTAAATGGAAGTGGTATTTAATAAAGAAGAGATTTATCATCGTTGATGTTTTCCTTTTCACACACACTTGATCAATAGTTAATAAAAAGTGAAATTAACTCCTCTAAATCATCAAGTTGCTTTTATATACAAAGAGTCAGCTAAAGAACATTTATATAAGCAAGAAGAAATGATAAGACTGTTTTCTTTTCTGCCTGTAACTGATTTACACAATGCTTTGCGAGAAGAGGATGGCGAAGTGTGGAGTGCTCCACAATGTGTTGTCCTATGTACGTACAGCAGGCATCACTAAATGGCAGAATGCAATCTGGACCGAGCCACTGTTCCATCCGGACTCGCGGTCATGCCATTTAGGAGCGGCTTCTATCCCCCAGACTCTGTCATTCTCAAGTCCACGCAGAGAGCGGGAGGCAGGATAGTAATGAACTAATTGTGAGAAACACAGCTCAGCAATGGATAGAGGGCGGGAGCTGCCAGTGGTTAACCTTTAATGTTATCCAGCAAGTGATTGGTTGCTAGGACCACCCTGTGTCCTAGCAACCAATCACCGGCTGGTTAATCTGGAAAGTTAACTCTTGCAGCTCCCGCCCTCCATCCAATGCTGGGCTGTGCCTCCCACAATCAGTTCGTTACCATCCTGCCTCCCACTCTTCCTGCAGTCTAAGGTAAAAGAGTGAGGGGGGGGGGGGCAGAGGACAGTACTGGGGGGTAAAAGGAAGCTGTGCTGGGGGAGGGAGTTGGGGTGTGTGTGTGTGTGTAGTTCATGTGAAGGGGTCAAAGGACAGTACTGAAGGGGGAGGGGGAGTTGATTTGAAAGGGGGTTGAGGATACTGCTGTAAATAAAGGGGGTGTGTAATGTGAAGGGGGTTCAATACACTACTGTGAAGGGGGTGAGGGTGATGTGAAAGGGGCCTGAGAACACTACTCTGAAAACTGTGAAGTGAAGTGGGGGACAGATGTGCGGTGCACTGAGGACAGTGATGTAAGAACAAGATTGTGATGGGAAGGATCTGAGTCTTTGCATGAATGTGATTCAGACCTCTGCTAGAAGAAAATTTTACTGACTGGACCTCTATAAAATTTCAATATCCCTGATGTAGAGTGTGTACTAGAAATGTATTATACTCATATCAGGTGTAATAATGGCAGCGGTTCTATGCTTCTAGAGCAGTCTTTCTCAACCTTTTTAGCATGGTCTCAGAGATCCCCAGCTACTAATTACTATATCTACAGCTCACAGTACATCAGGGTGATTGTCAAAAGGAGGAATGCTACTTAAATTAAGGGTTAGTATGAGGAAAGCCCCCTTAGAGATAGCAAAGGGGATAGGATCAACTTGTGTACGTCCAGTCCCTGCTGTGCCCCCAAGGCCCGCAATTCAATCCACGTATGGCCACCTTTATTCACAGTGGTTAAATGGTTAGCACTTCCGCCTGGCAATACTAGGGTCGTTGGTTCAAATCCCAGCCACGGCACCACCTGCCTGGAGTTTGCATGTTCTCCATGTGCCTGCGTTTCCTCCCACACTCCAAAGCCATGCTTGTAGGTTAATTGGATCCTGTCTAAATTGTCCCTAGTATGTGTATTTACGAATATGAGTTAGGGACCTTAGATTGTACACCCCCTGAGGGTTAGGGTCTGATGTGAATGTACAATATATATGTAAAGCGCTTGCGTAAATTGACGGAGCTATACAAGTACCTAAAATAAATAAATTTGTATGAGAGGCAAAAAATGCTCATTGCTCAAGGAACTCCTAGCAACGTCTGGAGAAACTGCAGGGTTGCATGGAACCCTGGCTGAAAAAGGCTGCCATAGAGAATATAATAATATTAAATATTGTATGTAGTAATCCAACCACAGAGTAAAATGACAGACCTTTATTTTAAACATATCCTGTATTCAGTCATGCTGGATATATAGATTTTTCTGTCTGTAAATATTGTCTATTGCCTGTATAGTGTAACAAACATATTATGTTCATGTACTCAACACAAACAGAAAACACAGCTTTATACTGAAACCCCTGAAGAGTTCCCAGAGCCCATTTGTGATTTTTTGCTTCAGTTTTGTATATTTTGCTTTCCTATTTTGTGTATACAGCTCTTGCATTTTCAGTCCATTTGCCATTAGGGACATTTTAATAAAGAGCTTCTTTCTGGGTGCTCCATTTCCTTCCATAATCCAAAAACATAGTGGTGGGTTGGCTTGTGGCTTAGAAACAATGGCCCAGAGGATGGAAGAGTGCAGAAAAATACCAGAGGCCTGATGGTTTTGGTCATTTTCAGCAGAGACACCATATTGGCATGGGCGAGCTAAGTAAACAGCCTGCCAGAAACTATACAGTCCAGCTAAGTCCATTCTAGGGCCTAACCCTTCAGAAAACAGACAAGTCTTAACTTAAAGTGTTACTAAACCCAGGATCCTGCATTCACTATATCTGGTCTCCCCGGACCCCTGCATTCACTATAACTGGTCTCCCCGGACCCTGCATTCACTATAACTGGTCTCCCCGGACCCTGCATTCACTATACCGGTCTCCCCGGACCCTGCATTCACTCCCCCGGACCCTGCATTCACTATAACTGGTCTCCCCGGACCCTGCATTCACTATAAACTGGTCTCCCCGGACCCTGCATTCACTATATCTGGTCTCCCACAGTACAGAACATGGAAATGCAATTATGTTAGTAAATATAAACTGCTAAATACCTGTTCTCATCAGACGTTAGAGCAGTCTTGTGACATCTGTGTCCAGCCGAGCACATGTTAAAGCCTGAAGGAGGAGTTTTCATTTTTTTTCAGTGCTGATTGGCCCTGTGCTGATCACATGCACTCTCCCAAGAAAAAAAAAAACCTCTCTAGCAATACACACTAAACTGAGCATATGCAGAGTGACACCACACCATATGTTTTATCAGAAGATAAGAGAGGGACACTGGAAGAAGGGGAGGATCAGAGAAGTCAGGCTCAAACAGCGTTTTTACACAATGCAGAGGATTAACTCCTTAGGTTCCACAGCGAGTATAACAAGCATGCTTTACTGCATATACAGACTGATTTTATGGTTGTGGGTTTAGTAACACTTTAACTCCAGGACCTACTATAGCACAGGTTGTCTTCCCAATCCTTAAAAAAATCCTTTAACCATTATTCAAAACTTTCAAATTGCTTGAAAAACTGCAGCGTACAATCTGGAATTTCTATTTAGGTAGGCGGAATGGAACCCTGAAGATGGATATCATTGTTGTGCCTAAAAATGTACCTGTAATTTACAATCTGGAGGTATTTAGTGGCTTGTACCAATATTAAGATAATAACCTTCTGTCTTGCACCAGAAAACCAATATTAAATTGTAAGTGGTAAACTACGTTATCATGATTTTTAGTTCACACATAAAATCAGAGTATGAGCTATGGATCCTTGTTAACAAGGATATGGGGTTTAAATTTAATTGAACCTGTCAGCAGATAAAACATTTAAAAGTCCAACCTGAGAGCAGGTGCCATAATGTGCCCATTATCATATTTGATAGCCAGAAAATCTCCTCTGTCTGCCTCTCAACTATTCTCTCCATAATTTTCTTTCTACCTGGATAGAATAAAAGTTTTTAAGTGGGGTCATATGGGGCTTTAGAATATGGAGGTGAACAATACGACAAATGATATCCAGCCCAGCAAACAGTGCTTGTTATCACTGCAAAATGGCAAAAGCTGTACTCATTCACAGCCACCTCACTACGTTTGAGTCCCAACCACTTGGCATGTATCAACCCACCACCAGCAACCAGACAACCTACTAATAGAAGAGTGCATTTCATCTCTGTCTCAGCAGGCTGCTGCACCAACCACCTTGCCTCAGGGTTCTCAGGCAACTATTCAAGTGAAACTAGTTTCAGAGCTAATCAATGTGAAGGGTTTTCTATCTAACAAAGGTAAGAGTAGATACAATGGGGTTTATTTACTAAAATTGCATGTGCAAAATCTGGTGCAGCTCTGAATGGAAACCAATCAGCTTCCAGGTTTTATTGCCAAAGCTTAATTGAAGAAGCTGAAATTAGAAGCTGATTGGCTGCCATGCACAGCTGCACCAGATTCTGAGTGCACCAGTTATAGTAAATCTCCCCCCATAATAATAATATCTAATTTTAGGCAGTACTTTAATTTTTAATCTTTACAAATTTGTGACAGGTTCTTTTTAAAGATCTTCATTTTTTTGTAATTCTCTATTTAGACATTATGCATTTACAAAAATGGGGGGTCTGTAAGGAGGGGGAAGTACAAAAGAGAGGGCGGGGGGTACTGGAAGCAGATCCAGGGGGTGCAGGGAGGCTCAGCATTCCTCTGTTCCTTCTACTCCCCCTCCCTGAAGGACCAGTCACCTCAAAGGGTCAGAAGTAGGCATTAACACCGGCCAAACAATGCCAAAAGGGTTTAAACGGGCCCAGGGGTAACATGCATTATGTCCAGGTATTGTGCCGAGCAAGTGTACAATGTCCAAGGCCACCATGTTTCCAAAACTACTGTACATCTTCCTTATTGTTGAGGGAGGCAGTTGGACTTTCCATAGATCTAATTTCATTTAACCTTGCAAACCAATGACTCATTGTTGGGGGGGGAGATCTGCTTCCACAAGTCAGGAATGCATGCATGTGCTGTATTGAGAATGTGAACCGTCAGGGAACGTTTATAGCGACGTAAGGGCATAGAGTTGAGATGTAATAGGTAGGCCATTGGGTCTGTTCCCCAGGTCAGCTGTGAAACTAAGTTCCTCACTCCCGTCCAGAACTGATTCAGCATAGGGCATTGCCAAACAATATGTACTGCTTCCTTCTGGCATCACCAACACAACCTGGAGGCTGTGGGGTAAAATTTGTTCAGTAGCACCGGGACCCTCTATACCATCTGGACAGGAGTTTGTACCCCTGCTCTTGGAAGCGATTAACAGATCTCCATATTATAAACATAATACCCCTCATCCAGACAACTTGCAGCCAATCATCTCCTTCCAAATATTTTTTGCAATGACTAAACATTAGTTGAGCTGTGCGCTCATCCTCCTCTTCCCCACCAACTCACGTTACCAAAGAACAGCAGAATGACACTCTGTGAGCCAGGAACTGTGATGGGATGCATCACTTGAGCCTGCAAAACCTGCCCACAGAGTACTTCATGTGACCACCAGACTGCCTGTGAACAGAGCCTTTTTCCACACATGAGCCACGATGGGATGTATCATTTGAGCCCACAACAGCAACACACAAATATTATTTGTGACAACCAGGATTTGTGTGAACAAAGCCCCTTTAAACCAGATGAATGCATCACTTGAGCTCACAACAACGGTCCACAAAGTAATTTATGTGACCACCAGACTGCCTGTGAATAGTGTGCTTTTATTATTTGTTTATTCAAACCATCAAATGAGTATTGGCTGCCCACAAAAGTATTCATCTTGTTGTCCAAAAAAAAATGGTTTATTAGGAACCCATTTCCACAATACATTAGATCGGTCAACTTCTCATATAGGCAAGATCCGACATCTGCTGAATTCTGTTGATAAGCGATTACTAAAGTATATCTAAGTCCAAAACTTTTTTATACGTTTTGGATAAAGAAGGGGATTTATTTTTACAATCTGTGTTCCATTAAGGAAAATTCCCACTTTCAGTCCTAGATATGCAACAGGAGAATGTGGGGAAATCTCTACTAAGTGTGGGGAAATCTCCCCATTAGACCTGGCTCATGCTGTTTGTGTTTAGGGCCATGCACTCGCGCAGATGCCAGATTGGGAGGAGCGTCTGTGTCCTTGCAATGGGACTGCCTGCATGGGGATACGCAAACACCTGTGCATCCCTGTGCAGGTAAAAACAACCCTCCATGGGTGTACTTTTTAGTATGCCCCATGTGAACAAGACCTTAGAACAGCTATGACCAGAATTGGAAGCTTTCTGCTCTAATATTGTTCTTCTAACAGTAACATTTTGGATTTAGCAGACAATGTGGAGGGGGGCTGTGCTGGGAGTATTGTAAGTGGGGGAGTGAAGTCCCCAAGCCCAAAACTCTGTGTTGTAATAAAAGCAAAAATAACATGCTTAGTCAGAAAATCAAAGATGCAATGTTATAGAGAAACCATTCACAGTGTAACTTTTTAAGGACACTGAAGCATATACAGTGCGTGGTCAGAAGTATGTACAGTACATTGCTGATTAGCAAGTGTAAACATCAATCTTATAATTGGTGTCGCTGGGCAGAAAATTAAACCTGAGTTGCCAACCAAAAATTAAAAACAACACTTAACGTGTTACTAAACCCAGGACCCTGCATTCACTATATCTGGTCTCCCACAGTACACAGAACATGGAAGTGCAATTATTTTAGTAAATATAAACTGCTAAATACCTTTTCTCAACAGCAGTTAGAGCAGTCTTGTGACTTCTATCAGTGTTCAGCAGAACACTGGTTAAAGCTTGTAGGAGGAGTTTTCTTTCTGCTCTAGGAAAATGCAGAACCCCTGACCCCTGTCTGGACAGTGCTGATTGGCCCTGTGCTTATCACATGCACTATCCCAAGAAAAAAAAATCCTGTCTAGCAATACACACTAAACTGAGCATGTACAGAGTGACTCCACACGATATGTCTTATCAGGAGATAAGAGGGGGACACTGGAAGAAGGGGAGGATCAGAGAAGTCAGGTTTTAAACAGCATTTTTAAACAGTGCGGAGGATTACTCCTTAGGTTCCACAGTGAGTATAACAAGCATGCTTTGCTGCATATACAGACTGATTTTACTGTTGTGGGTTTAGTAACACTTTAACTGGGCTGAAAAGGAAAAGGCAGTTCACTAAGTAGGTTGCCTGCTGCTTGCCTTAAAGAGATTGAGAAGAAAAATGCACAATTGTGGGTGTGGTTAGCAAAATTACTTCACAGTGTATACCCTGTTGTGCGCTACCTTTCCACTTTTGCTTTGCTAGGATTTACAAAATATAGGGTTTGGGGGTTCACCAAAGAGATTGTGGGAGTAAAATAAGCTCCATTGTCAGTGACAGCAACAACAACTCTCAGCATTGTTTTAGGGCCAGCAATGAAAATCCCCAGCAAGTGTCAGGGTAAGCAATGATAAACCTCAGTATGTGTCAGGGCCAGCAATGACAATCCCCAGCAAGTGTCCCCAGCAATGACAAGTGTCAGGGCCAGCAATGATAATCCCCAACAAGTGTCAGGGCCAGCAATGACAATCCCCAGCAAGTGTCAGGGTAAACAATGATAAACCTCAGTATGTGTCAGGGCCAGCAATAACCTCAAGCAAAATTATAACCTCCAGAACTGCACAATCATAAAGCCCAGCTCAGCACAATGATAACCCCAAGCATTGGTGTTTAATCGTTTTATTTACCTGATCACCAGCTCCCATGATCTCCCTCTCTTCTGCACTGCTGCAGGCAGCCAGAACTATAATTTATCTGTCAGGCAGGAGATCACTCGGCCCAATCAAGCAAGACACTGGCAGTGTGCAGAATGCACAGCATTCCTAGTACTTTTTATTTTTGCAAAGGCAGCAGAGTCCCAGGCGAAGGGAATGCTTAAAGAAAACTCAATCAGGAATGGCCATCAGTCAACACATGTTTTAGGCATAGGTTTCTCTTTTGTTGGCCAGATTAATATATTTATCTCCTAGATTGTAAACTCCAAGGAGCAGGGCCCTCGAACCCCTCGTATATCGCATTGTATTGTTACTGTACTGTCTCCCACTATAATGTACAGCGCTGAGCAAACTTTTGGCGCTATATAAATATTGTATAATAATTTTGTTAAGTTCTCAGTTAATTTATCTTGCTGCTATGTGGAAACCTCAGTACTTGTCTTATTGGATATAAAAACACAAACAAACTGGATAGATATATGTATTTATCATACTTTTTATGTTAACCTCTTATAGCACGGATGGATAATGAAACACCGCCCCTCCAAAAGTAGGGTATGGGTATAGAGTATGGGTATGCGTTAAAAAAAAATAAATCATAATTACTTAGGTGGATGCAGCATCGGTCCGATGCTGCATCTGTCCCCCGCCAGCTCTAAGTCTGAGAACTAAGTGCATGACTGCTGATTGCTGAGTTCTCACCGTAGCTCTGAGCAGTGAGTGGCGGACTGTCAGGCTGTGGAGGGGAGGGAGCGGCTGGCTCAGGCTCTCAGTGGCTTGCTGAGAGGCTGAGCCCGGTGCCGCTCCATACTGTGGAGTGGATCCCGACTTTAAAGGTAAAAAGAAAAAAAAAAACATTCACATCAGGGCTTGAATCAAAAAAAAAAAAAAGCCTTAAAGCCCAACTCTAGGAATAACAAAAAAATTGCCTTGCAGTGGGACCCATTGGGATGAGGAATAAGGTTTTCTTCTTACACTGCTCCTTGCTCTGACACTCTCCTTTGCTAAAGCTTGTGGACAAGCCCTTGCTATCTTTATGTGCAATGCAAGGCTAGTGGCCCTGCATTGTACCTGATGACATTGTCTCAGGACAGCAGAACGGAGCACTTTATAGGCTTCAGAGGACCATTTGCACAGATGGCATGAGCCTACCAGAGAAAGAGGTAAGGAAAGTATTACACAGTGTTCCTCTCCCCCCTCAAGATAACAATTGTTTAACCCTTGCAGTGCGAGAAGGAAGGGGGAGATGGAACTGCAAGGAGAGCTATTTTTCCTAAGACTTCCTAAAACTTGCGTCACAAAAGAAATATGGAGGTTGCAACTGCTCATTTCCTTCTGACAATGATATCTGTCTTGCTGTGTCTGCCTTTATTACTTCTGCGCCCAATGGCATAATGTGGGCTGGACCACAGAGTGGTTGCTCTGGGCGCAAAATTCTTAAGGAATTGGTAAGGATGCAGGGTGAGAGGAGGTTGGTCTGTGCGTGCTCCTGTTCTGCTCAGCGGCTCTCTCCTTTCCCACTCCCTCTTAGACTGTGTGAGCGAGTCCAGCTGGGAGGTTATAGGTTGGAGTTGGAGGAGTAGAGGACAGCAAGCAGCACTTAGTGTGTATCAGTGCGCCGCCATACAGCATTCCTTACTGGTCTCCATACTGGATACAGTTGGTCTTGAAAATACTAAATCCAAACATTGCATACTACGCAATACTGACAGTACAGATGTTATGTCAGCCTGGAGAAAAGTTTATATTAAATAAATGTATGTGGCTGTCAGCTGGCTCCTAGGCTTGCTTTTAGCGAGGAACAGTAAAACACAATCACTGTGCTGAAATAGTAAGAAGGAAACAGAGCATGTACAGAAAATGAGAATATACATGTTCCTTCATGGACATAATTACACATGCAAAGATTGATTTTCTTACAAGGCAATGTGAAAATTGTAAAAGGCCATAAAAGTCTGTAGGTTTTAATAAATTATCAAACGTTATCATTGTTACTTTAACATATTTGAACTTGCATTTTAGAGGATCATTTAACATTTCCACCTGGCAGTACTAGGGTCGTTGGGTCAAATCCCAACCAAGGCACCACCTGCCTGGAGTTTGCGTGTTCTTCCTGTGCCTGCGTGGGTTTCCTCTGGGTACTCCGGTTTCCTCCCACATTCCAAAAACATGCTGGTAGGTCAAATGGCTCCTGTCTAAATTGGCCCTAGTATGTGTATGAATGTAAGTAAAGCGCTGCATAAATAATGGTGCTATATTTGTACCTGTAATAAATAAATACAAATAAAGAAATCATTTATAGCTAGTCAAAGCAAATATGCATACAACTAGCCTGGATAGCCCCTTGTCCTGCAACAGTGAGCTCTGACACAGATGTAGAGAGGTGTGATAGTTGTCTTGTTAGGTGGCGGTGAAGCTGGCCGCAGTGAACACAGACATCACAGCTGTGAAGGGGTGAGCAATAACATGGAGAGGTTCCAGTGCCAGCTGATAAGGGAGAGGAAACGGAGAAAAGGGGGGGGGGGTCCTTTAACACAAATCTCAGCCAGTTGCTATGGAAAGGTCATGGAAGGACATGAGCCTCTTTCTGAGAGCTGCCAATGTCTCCAGTGTTAGCCAGTACAGTACTGACTCACCCCCCAGCACCACTCGGCAATAATAGCTGGCTCTTCACAGTCCATCAGACTCTTCTGTGTCTGGGAGCCACACTCCTCTGTGTAAGCGAGCCGACACATGACAGTCGCCTCTGCCAGGCCCTCACACCACCCAGTGTTCCCTAGATCTGCTTCACTAACCCTCTCGGGTGCAATGAATGGAGGATGATTGAGACATTTGCTGTGCTGCAGTTTAATGGTGCTTGTCACACATCATGTACAGGACACAGATATGTCACCCTGTCATCTGTAAACTGCAGGCCGCTGGATTTACTAACCTTCAGTCTGTGACACTGCTTTCTGAGCCACACTGAGCTCATGTAAAACTGCTGTATGACAGTCCGACATGAAATAAAAAAAACGTCAACCTATCAAAGTGCACATCTATAGAAACTATGCTGTCATTTGGTTTTCTGGCCTTTCAAATATCTACTGCACACAAAAAACTCAGCCTGGCTAGGCACAGCCAATATCTGTAAGCAACACGACTGCTTCAAGCCACAACAGGGATATACAGCTGGTAATTACTGACCAATAAAATAGGCTACAATATTTCAATAATCGCACAAAACCAATTCTGTAACATAACAAAAAAATCTATGAACTAGTGAGTGGTTTCTATAGCTCCCTCCTGCAGCTATATTGTTTTCTGCTGGTAGGATGCCTTCCCTGCCGGCAGAACGCAATGATTAGTGTTGCCGGCTATAGCCAGCAGTACTATTCGTTCGGGGAAACAGCCGGCAGACTGGTTGTACACAAGTCGACCAATAAACTGCATCTTTCCCGTGCCTGGACCTCCTCTGTAACGTCAGTCAACAGGGGGGTTAGCCTGCTGTTGGCTGAAAACAGGTCACAGGAATGCAGAATGAACTGCACTTCTGCAATCCATAGGAGAATAACAGCCAAAAAAATGTGGCTATACTTCTCCTTTAACAATGAACTTCTTGGAACATTCAAAGGAAAATTCTCATGTACATTTAATGACTTGACGAATGTCTTCAAAAGTACATTAAAATTTTGTTTACTTTTAATATTCGATTTTGGAATGAATGGATTTTCATGAATGAAAACCACATTTACTGTTAGAATTTGTTCTTTCAAAAAAATATTTCCTGTGCACCTTTGCACCACATCACATCACATCAATCGGACCCCACTAATGATTAGAAGATCAAACGAATGTTCCTAAAACAAAAAATTCTAACAGTTTTACTGGTGTATGGCCAGCCTAAACCTGGTCATAGACAGATCGAGATCCGCACGAATTTCAATCCACCTATGGCCAGCCTGGATCTACCGAAGTCAGGGTTTTTTTTTTGTGTATGACATTGTATTCCGCCGGTGGGGAAACCTCCCTGCACTCCTCGCCAGCATAACACAACAGGACTAGGGGAGGGGTTCCCCCAGCAACACTGACAGTGTTGATTGTGAAATCTAGCAATTCTCTTTCCTTCAACCTGTGGTTGAGCATTTGCCCAGCAAAAAAAAAAATATCAAACGCCCTTAACCACATGTCGCCCAGCCACTGTAGAAATACGGCGGCAGGGGCAGCACGGCTGGGCAAAACCACATTTTAAAACGTGTGTTTAAAAACAGGTAGGGGGCGTGCGCGAGGTC